AATTTGATAATCTTTTGAATACTTCTCAAATAAAAGAGCAGACCAATGACCTTAAATTGTTACTGGAAGGCTTCACAACTCTCTTTTTCCTATATGCATTTCTTTCATTCAAAATTTTTTTCAATTTTTTTTCTAATTACAACCTAACCTTTCGTTCACATAGCGATCCTCTACGTTTCATTTACTGTCATATATTGGACAGGCATCAAACTCATTCCGACCTCGATAAATATAAACTTCTATAGGACCTTCTTAGTTCAGACACCCCGTAAGAATAGGTGGGCCAATTGCTGCAGTATGCTCATCACTGCAAGAACACAAAATCCTATAAAACTCGATCATTGAAAGAAAAATACAAGTTTTCCTATTCAATTCCTTCTAAACTACATAAATCATCTGGGTTTGGATACATGATCACTAGATTAGAAAGTGAATTGTTGTCGCTTTCCACAAAAGTTCGGCTGAGTTTGGATGTTTTCGATCAGTCGACCTTTTGCCCACAGTTATAGCACGCATTGACGCCCATGTTCCTCGATGCTTACAAAACTTACTAGATGGCAAAAAAACATAATGCTGAAATGGGTCGTTTTAGTTTCTCAAAATTAGTTAGTTCCAACTGGGCCTCAAGTTGCAGACTCAAACGCAGTTAAAAAATAATTTATACAAACAAAAGAAAACCTATTTTTGAATAAACAAATACAGTTTTACAGATTGTTTTGCTTATTCTTATTTGGCTAATTAAATGATCATTTTGCTTAGTCGTCAGAATTGGGAAAATTGTGATACTGGATAAATAATATTGAAAGAGCCAAATAAGCACTGATAGAATTCTTAACTGGCAACGACGGAGTTGGAAGCGAGATGGTCATTGCGCAATAGGCAAGGGAATATTTATAACTCTCACCTGAATTTGCATGGAAATGGCTGACAAAACCGATTCCTCCAGCCGGTTGAACTCGTCAAAACAGCCCCAAGCTCCACACTTTACGATGCCAATGAATATTCGACCCATAGAGTGAACATCTATACCCTCGTCGCAGTTAAAAACCAAGACCTGATAAAAAAATGAAGGGTAGAGGAAAAATACACAGAAATAGATTGAATAAATCAGCGAATTAAAGTAAATCTGGTCAGCCAAAGCAAAAAAGGAAGTGAAAGTGCGTGATGACGGAATTCTAAGGTTGATCGTACGCTAAATAAATATTAGGATCCTCTTGGCTAAATTTCATTAGGATTTAATGGACAATTCTGGTTGATGCTGCTCTCGATTCCCAAGAAGACGCGATAAGCTATCTTCTATTGTATAACTTACAATATTATAACAGGTTCTCC